TTACTTTAAGCATGGAGAAATAAGGCATGCAATTGCACACGCTTCCTGGGAAAGCTTGAATATGATATTTGTAAATGAAATTTATGTTCATGAATAAATTACGTTCAAAGAACTTTATCCGGTATTAAAATAAACAAGAAACAAAAAGTTTTAAATTTGTTTAAAAGAAAAAAAGTAAAGTTTGTAATATGCTTTCACATGTTTTTTTCTATGATGAAGAGATTTATGTTTTAAGTAATGAATTAGTAAACAAGAAAAAAAATTCTTTCTTTAATAAGTAAAACTATTGTACATTTCTTCGAAACTAATTTTTACATTCTATATTTTACTATTTTACATTCCTTCAAAACTGAATTTAAATTTTTTAAATCATATAATCAAATTCAATGTCTTAAAAAAAAGTTATTTAAAATACTCAGTTGCCGTTAAATACTTTTTATACAAATATTTTCTTAATAAATGCCCCATAAACAATTTTGAAAGATCATTTAAATATTCGCCATTTTGTATGTAGAATGCAAGCTGCGTAACACTTCATAACAAGGCCTAAAATACAGTAAATAATAAATATTCTGCCATATTCTGGTAAAAAGTTATATGTACTACTAAGAAGGTTGTTGAAAGTATCCTCTCTTTGATGGATTCCAGATTGGTGCTGCATATTCTAGAAGCAGTCAAACAAAGGCTTTATACGATATTTCAGCAATTGCGGTGGTGTAGAATTCAAAAGTGTGTTTAATTAAACCTAGCATTCTGTTAGCTCTGTTGGTGTAGTAATTGATATGTTGGTTGTATTTTCCAATAGCAGATGTCATAGCGCCTAGATCTTTCTGATTTTTCCTAGATTTTTCTGAATCTGAGCCTTCAATTCGAATTCTTATGTTATGATCGTAGTCAAAGATAGTATAATTTCTTTTTTGATTGTACTTACCAAAGTGCATTATTTTAATTTACTTATATTAAGTTTCATCTTTTGTACGTGACATCATTTAGCAATTTTATCTATATTATTTTAAAATTTGTTTCCTAATATTTCCATTTCGTCCAGCTTAGCAAGAGTTTTACTATTGTCATCGTATATTTTCATTTCGTGGAAAAATTGATATGAAAGGTCATTTATAAATATTGTGAATAAAATTAGCCATAGTACTGATCCTTGTATTTCACCACTTCTGATTGGACTCCAGTCAGACTGTTTTTCACCAAGTACAACTCATTGTTGTCTGTTACTTAAGAAAGATTTTATCCATGCAGCAAAGTTATTATTAAAACTATACGATTTAATTTTATGGGTTATGTATTTATGCTATACAGTGTCAAATGCATTTGAAAAATCAGTAAATAGGGCATCGACTGGATGTTTGTAATTTAAAGCTATACAAACAAAGTCTTGACACAAGCAATTTTGTGAAACAGCTCTTTTTTGGCACAAAACCATGTTGTTGCAATCTGGTAAGATTACTTTTTATTAGATGTTTCATCACATCAAGTCACAAATTATACTTTTCATTAATTTACTTATGACTGATGTGAGCGAAATAGGCCTAAAATTACTTGCAGTAGGTTGACTACTGCTTTTGTGTATTGGCGTAACATTTGCCTTGCTCCATTGCCTTGAATGAACTTGAATTTAAACTTTTCATCTTTTCAATTTTTTTTAGTGGAATACAAAATGTTGCACAGTTTTTTAGAACGTATGAATTTATGCCATTAATTAAGATCGATTTGTGAATATTTAAATTTTCTAGTTTCTGTAATATTGTGGTTTCACAAAAAAGAAGATTTGCATTATTGTTTGCTTGACTTAAGGAACAGTTCTCAAATTTAGGAAGCTCATTTTTTATATTATTTGTGAAAACTGATTGAAAATATAAATTAAATATAATAGCTATTGTCTTTTTGTTGTTTAATTAAATTACTGTGTTTGTCTTGTATTAAATTGACACTCAAGTTTAATTTTAGTTTCATTTAACATACAAAAAGTTTTTAGTTTTTTTTATCTTATTAATTAATGACAGTTCAAATCGCAGTTTCATATTCTTTATTTTTCTATACAAATTTGTTCCATACATGATGTTTGTCTTTAACAATTTTTTTTGTATGAGTCAAATCATTTTGGTGCATTTATTTTTTGCTTGTTTAGTGTTTTAACAGGAATGTATAATCAACATGCTGCTTTGTATATTGATAAGAGTGATTCGTAACATAGTTGAATACAATCACAGGGTTCGATGAGTTGTGACCAATTCATGCTATCTATATATAGTCTCAGATTCTCGTAATCACCTTTAGTGTAATTGTGATGGTGGTTAGAGAAATGATGAAAAGATTGATTATTTTGAGTCTTATATATTCTCATTTTACACCACAGCGACTATGTGTAATATTGGTCCCAGAGACAATCATTCATAGTATTGATAAAATTTGATTTGTTTTTGAGACCGTTTGAATTGAATAGGTTGTGTAATGTGTCCCATTTGATGTCAACATAATTAAAATTGCCTGCAATCATTACCTCATCGAGATTTTCAGACAAGAGGTAGCAATCAGCTTTATAGCAGGGTTCATAAATTATTTTGTCTCTTATATTGTTTAGATAAGTTTTAAGGTTGTCCTGTGAATCAAGAACTATTGGTCTATATATACATCCTAGCAGCAGTTTTTCTTTGCCAAACGATAAACAGCACCACTTTGCTCAACAAATTCCTCATTTAGTATCTTATTATTTGTTTCAGTACAGGTATATTTCGAATTAACATGGCTACTCCACCCCCACAACTACCACGATCTTTTCTAAATAACTTATAGTTGGTAATAAAAGGAGTGAATCTTTCTGTAAACCATGTTTCTGCAACGAAAATAATGTTGAAATTATGATGAAGGGTGATTGTTCCAAGCTCTTGCAGTTGATTGTTTAATGATGTTGTGTTGGTAACAGTTGTGTTGGTAACAGTTCAATGAAGTTCGGGCTGAGTAATAAGTTAATTTAGATGATGAAGTTTTTGTTGTGGTGGTTTTATCAATATTAGTATGTTTTAGTGATTCAGTTGAGTTATTTTCTGCAAGGCCGTAAATAATTATATTTTTCTCTCTTTTTGACAAGTCATTGTTTATTTTAGTTATTGCTTTAACTACAGCAATTTGTTTGGGTGATTTAGGCAATGATGTGGGTTTAGGGAAGTTACTCCAAAGTGATGCAGGTTTCATAACGTTTTTTTTTTCTCTGTAGTTTATTTAATTGATTTTTTAATTGTATTTTTTCATCTAGAATCTTTTCTAATACTCTTGCTATAACTAGTAACTTTTGGCTATGTTGCACTAGCTTTTCTGCCTGAAGTTGAAATAGGAACAAAAATGTTAGTGGTTTTGCATAATTTATCAATTTTTTTAATGCTGTATCGCTTTCAGTCATTTTAGTTAAATCAAGTCACTTTTTGTTTGATGTTGATGAAATACTGATTAAATGTTTATAATTATTTGTTATTAAGTGTGGTAGCCTTCTTATCAGAGGGCTACCACGCTAAATTGGTAGATTACCTTCTATCTGAAACTCTGAACTGAGAATGCTACCACTCTAAATAACAGTGGACTCTCTATCTCTATCACTATCTCGTAGTGAGTTTTTTTTTTTAAATAATGATAAGCTTATTAACACAAATACTATGAGAAGTTTAGACATGTTTTTTTCTTAAAAAATATAAAAAAAAAAATTTTTATATGTTTTTGGGAAAATATTTTTGGATTTTGAAAATATGACCTAGATAATCATTGATGCATTCTTCTTAAGTTCATTGCAAAAATTTTCACTGTTGATGTGCACTTTTTTTGGTTCAGAAACAAAAAATAAAAATAAAGAACCATTTCAAATCTTAATAACTGCAGGAGCAATCATTAAAGAGGATATTCAATCATTTTTTGATATTCAATTACTTGATAATACCTATTATCTCTCGCCTAGTTAAATATTTGAAAATTTTATAAGATTATGATAAGATAAGCACCATTCAATTTGTTACCTCAAAAAGTTCCATTACACAAGATCATATACCACAAATAAAGGAAGTCTCTTCAGCATGGCAGGACTGAATTACCAAAGATCATAGTAAAACTAATAGTATCTTATTTACTTATGTCATTTTTTTGGGTTGATTGGTTATATTATGTAAAGTAGTGGCATTAAAGGTAGTCATGGACAAGAAAAGTGTGCAATTGCCCTCTATTCCTGACCACTTATTTATTATTTTTTTGCGACAACTTAACCACCGCTTTTTAGATTTTTGAAAACATTTTAAAAATGTGCAAAAAAAAGTATAAAGTAATAAATCGATAAATTGCTTTTAAAGATTGTATGCTATAAAAGACATTTAAATTATCAAAAGGTATTATTTTGTTAAAAAGTATATTTTTTATGAAGAGTGTAAATGTTCTTAAAACAATTTGTACAATTAATTTTATAAAAGCAACGAAAATGATTTTTTAAACAAACTTTTTGATGAATCCATAAATTTAATTTAATAGTCGAAGACATATCAAAGTTATTTTTTTTTATTATTCTATGTAAACTGTCTAATAAAATTTGTTGACCCTGACCCTAACCCTAAAGGCGAGTTTCCACTCATCCGTTTTTCAACGGAACAGGATAGGAAAGGAAAAAATAATCACGTGAGCATGCGTAATAAAAGTTTTTATTTGTCCGAAAGAAAACTGCGCATGCTCACATGATTATTTTTCCGTTCCCTTTCCCTTTCCCGTAGAAAAACAGATGAGTGGAAACTCACCTTAACACTTTTAAATAAAGTTTTAAATCTTTAATATTTAAAAATATATTTATTTATTGTTGTCATTTTCACCTTTTTCTTTTTTTATTTTCTGTACTAATACAAGATTTTTATTAAACATAAAGGTTTGCTTTTTTTTAAATTTTTTTTTTTTTTTCTTTTATGTTTGTTTGTTTACATCTGAAAAAAAATTCCTACATTTCAATGAAACACTTTTTTTAGAGGAGAAATAGAAAAGAAAAAGGATGATCTTCGTATTATGGTTGGGTAGGCCAAAATTTTTTGAAGTTAATAATTAGATAAATGATATAGTTATGATTATAGTTATAAATGCATACATGAAGTATGTTCTTCTTATTAATACATGAAGGGCTTCATATTTTTGTATGTGTTAAAATTTTTTAGTGCTGAATCGTGTGTGCATATATACATATTTTTCATTTATTCCAATTATATTATCAAAATTTATTTATAATTTGCTTAAATAGTTTTCACAGGTTAGATCTTAGTTAAAATTATAGCATATATGTCACTAATAGTTATAACATTTATTCTTTCTTTATTTCTATTTACACATAGATTTTCCATTTAAAATAATCTTCAAAATCTTTTTTTATTGTTAGTTCATTATCGTTAAAATTGATATATTTATTTGTTACATTTTTTATTTTTTAATTGATATGAATTTTTTTTTTGACCAATAATCATTTATATAAAGTTTTTTTTAAGTTATAAAATATTTTAACTTTTTATTTTTTATTATTTATATTGCAGTTTTATTACAATATGTTATGTTATTCTCAAAATTTAGTGTTGCAACAAGTTTAAAATTTTTATTGTGTTCATTAGTATTTCTAGACTTGGGTATCCTTTGTATGGCTGTAGTTTTAACTTATTTTCTTTCATTTATCATTGCCAATAACATTTTTCAGTATTGGCAAAATTTGTTTTGTTTTAAAACTTGCTCCATTACCTCCTTGTATTTTATATCAATAACTGTAATTCTTATCAATTGAGCTAAATACCATAAATTTTAAGCACCATTTATTGCCAAATAATTTAGAACCATCTTGGTGCATTGCATAATAATTGTAACCAAGTTAAAAAGTTTTCTTTGTCAGCATTACTGTAGATCACGGTATCCTATTGTGAACCATCGAACATAATGAATGTTTCCAAGAGAACTCTTGCATAATTTATTTGAAACCGCTCCTGATTGAATGAATAAACTTTAAAGATATTTTTGATCTGAGCTTAATGTTCTGAGGATGTTATAAACAAGTAAATGAAAAGCATGTTTTATTTTTTTGAAAGGAACTACTGTTAAATTAGTTAATTCTTCTGTCATTTTTTTTATCAATATCTCTTAAATGATGCTGGACCAGAAGTTTTTCCATCAATCAACTAAAATACATGTTTAAACAGAAGTTTATTTAAATGAAATAGAATCGTATTCTATTTCTATTAGTTTTATCACTACAAACTAACCAGTGTTAACTACAGTTGCATTCCATAAGATAGCAATAAAATAACCACTACTGCTAGATAAATTATAAGTAGAGAATTTCATAAGCAACGCAGCGAAAAATTCCATTATCAGTTGTTAGATGATCTATATAACTGCTGCTTGGTTCTCTAACTATTGTAATAAGTTCTTTTTTAACTATCCCTGTTGTTGTTATTATATTGTTATTTCTTTTGTAATTTTTTGTAATTTTAAATTTTCTCCTTTTCTCCAATTACATTTTTTTGTCCAATACAAAGTCTTCCTCGTTCTACTTTTTTCCTATTAAGATGGATTCATTTAGTGTTCCCATGTCTTTTAGATTCATTCCCATGTCTTTTAGATTCAATCCTATATCTTTTAGTATCCGCATGTCTTTTAGTATTCCTGTCTTTTAGAGCAGAATTAACAATAGCAGTAGTTGCTCTGCAACTGACACCATCTGCCAGTTTACTGTTAAAAACAATTTTAATTACATATAAGACAGATTTATCATAAAATTTGTCATTTTTGTCATTAGGCTCATCTATTTTGATACTTTCTTCAGGTTCATACAAGTTATCATAAGTAATGTGATCCATACTTTCTTCAGGTTCATACAAGTTATCATCAGTAATGTGATCCATACATTCTTCAGGTTCATACAAGTTATCATCAGTAATGTGATCCATACTTTCTTCAGGTTCATACAAGTTATCATCAGTAATGTGATCCATACTTTCTTCAGGTTCATACAAGTTATCATCAGTAATGTGATCCATATATTTTTCAGGTTCATACAAGTTATCATCAGTAATGTGATCCATCTCTTCCTCAACATTTTTATCTTATTTAACTGCTGTTGCCTTGTAACAAATACACCCCATTCATTCATTTTCACTTTTAAATTACATCTGTATTTCTCTCTTTCTATTCCTGTATCATAAAAATTGCACAAACATATATCAAACGTTGTCAAAACAAATTTGCTTTATTTGGCAAAAAATTTATCTTGAAAGTTATCATAAAATCAAGCCTTGAAATTTTATTCAAATGCTTTTTCCATTAATCTACATTCGTTTGAGAAAGTTCCTTCTGTTTTAATTGTTGTTAGTGCAATTCTTTTGATTTTCTGATTCAAATATTGTGCCATACATTTTTAATTTCTGTTAACGTACATGAGCAGAACTTGACCTTTTGTCATTGGTTTAATTTTTTATTTAAATCTCTTAATAGTTTTATTTAATTCATGTAATACTAATTACTAAGTTTTTATTTATATGTTTTTTTTTTCATAATTTTAGTATAGAATTTCATGTCATTATTAATCTGAACAATATTAAAGTTCTAAATTTCCAACAGCAATGATACCTACAAAAAGAGATATTTTAAAATATTGCTTTATGTACGCAGAAACAAAAATGCTTAGGCATCTTTATTTCTGCATACATAAAAGCAATGTCAATATATTGACTAATAGAACCAACCTATTTACTTCTTCTCAACAGATTTAGAATTTCTTTTCTTTTTGATTGTGCTTCCTTGATAGTTGGTACAGTTCTAAAACTCAGTTTAATAGTTCTAAGGCTGGATGGTAGTGATATTTCCTCAACTCACAGGGACTGATTTTATCGCCAGCTGGAAATTGTTAAAATATTATTAGCCCTAAGTCACGCATAGAAGATGTCTTTTAATGTGAGTTGGCGAACCACAAGGAATTCTTTGTTACCTTTGAAATTTAGAAACTTGCTATTGTTCAGATTAATAATGATAAAAAATATTAAAAATAAAAAAATATATAACTAAAAACTTAGAAATTAATATTACATTAATTAAATAAAATTATTAAGAGATTTAAATAAAAAAATTAAATACATTTTAATTTTTTTCAAAAGTTGTAGTGTATGGTGCTAGGGTTTCTAAACACTGTTTAATAGTAACAGTAAAACAGCTGTTTTTTTTATGAAAAAACAAAAATAGCAAATAGCTATTTTTTAAATGACTTTTTTACTGTTTTTAATTAAAATTAAAGCAACAAAAATAAAAAACTGAAACTTTTTTTATGCATTTGCATAAAGATTAAATTCTATTTCAATATTATAATGAGTTTTAACTGCATAATGTTTCATTTAAACCTGAAAATGTTCAAATTTTTTTATTCAATCACTTTCAGATAAAAGTTTAGTTATTTATATTTTAAAAATTAACAATTTCTAAAAGTTTTTTTATTAACAATATAACAACACGTTTATTAAAGCAATTTGAATGGTAATTTAATTTGATTTATTTTTCAATAACAATTTAATAAATAGTTTAAAATATAGGATAATAAGTAACTTGAATAAATAACTTTAGTTCAGTAGTTATCATATTTTATAAAAAAAAACTAAGCACACAGGCAAGTACTAAGGAGTTTCTTTCTTAAGAGATTCTTTAGAGTTTTAAATAGGGCTTCTAGCACCAGTTTCTTATTTACATTGACTATAAAATAAATGCATTGTTACTAGTTATGAATTAGTTTTTAACGGTGGGTAAAATGGCTACTTAATATCCTTACTTCCAATTCATATTATTAGCAATGTCAGTCTGGATATATGCAACAAAATAGAAAAATCCAATTGAAAAGAATTGGAAAAAGTTTCAGCGTTATAACAAAATAATAAAATGATCAGGAACTTCTACAACTACCTTGAAAAATTACTTAAAAAGTTACAGACTTTGTTTAGATAAGGCAACAGAATCAATCATACTAACAGATGAGAGAGCAAGCAAGAAGAGGCATGAAACTGTAACCAACTTCTTTGCACAAAAGAAGCTTCAAAATATTTTTTCTAATTCGGCTATGGATGGCATTTCAGCTCGAGCTATAACCAGAAATAAATACATTTGCCATTTAATAGCTCGAGATTTAAATTTCCCGCTAACGAAAGTGATGTAATGAAGTTTTTGCACAAAGATTTTGATGAAAAGCAAAAAAAAATGATTGACACCATAAAATTAAATGTAGCCAATAAAGTGAAGCTTAGCATGACTGTCGATGAGGTTACTACTTTAAGAGGATGAATATAATTTTGAGTTAATATTCATGATAAAACTGACAATATCACTTATAAAACATAATTAATTCCAATTTTGGGTTCATGCAGTGCGCTTTATATGGTTGAAATAATAAAACAACATCTAAATGTGTTTGGAATATCAATGGCAAAAAAAATTTGGTTACATCTACTCAGGATGGAGCATCTGTAAACAAGAAGTATATTCAAAATTTAGATGATTTTGGTCAATTTTGTCTTAATCAGTATACATCTTGGAGTGTGACACACTTTATATGAAAAAACATGATATTGAAGATTTAAGCAACTCCTGTGATGATGATAACAATGAAAATGATTCTTTTGACAAAGGTACCAATTTTGAATTTATAAATGATGATTGGGAAGATTATATTGACTACAATAATTTACTAAAGAACTCATGCAAACTGATAAAATACATCAGACTGTTAAGTGTTCTAAATCTAGTTTTTCATTCAAAAGTCAAAGCTCTATCGGAGAAGAAATTGAACTTCATCTTAATGTAAAAACTCATTGGAGTACAATACCAAAAATGCTTGAGCCATTGATTAAGACAGAGACAGCAATTCGAGAAATGTTATTAGAATTTTAGGCAGATATAAGTTTAGCCAATAATGTAGATTTCAATGCCTTAAAAGGTTTACTAAATGCAAAGAAACCCATAAAACTTGCTATAGAGAATCTTAGTAGAGAAGATGCAACTCTGTTGAGCGTTGACAAAAATTTAGAATTTATGTTTGAGAAACTTCCTTTAGTTAACAGTGAAATAATTAGCAAAAAATTGATTAATGAACGCCTGAATACAGATGTCATAAAAATATTACGCTGTCTAAAGAACTCTACAATACACTGTACACTGATCCAGAGATACGATAACTTTTGCAGGAATGTTGACATCTTGACTTTTTGGTGTTCATGATGTTAATATGATTGAAAAAACTTCCAGTAATCCATTAGATAAAATTTTAACTTAAAGAGGAACTGAATGTGTTGCTGAAGAATATGAATCACCAATAGTGCCTTCTGGACGAACAATTTCAGGTGGTTACAAGCTGAGTTTTTAAGAATACAGGCTAGTGTACAGAAAACTTACAAAAGCTTTATGATGCATTATTAACAATTAAGCCCACATTTATGGATGTTGAAAGAGTATTCTCTGTGTGTGCCGACTTTTGTACAAAAATAAAATTACGACTTTCAGATAAGTCATTATCAGCTCTTGTATTTTTGAAATACTATTATAAAATGTAAAGTTTATGTTAGGATATATATTATTGGAAAAATTTTTACCTTTGCCTGCTTAATACGAGGAGGGTGGGGATAATAAAGGAGGGAGAGCTGTTAACAGCTGTTTTTGAAAGTTATAAAACAGTAAAACAGCTGTTTTTTAAAAACTGCTGTTTTTCAGAAACCCTATATGGTGCAAATTACTACTGTACTTGGTTTTTTTTTTTATTAGCTGTACCATAATAAACCTTTATAAATAAATACTTTAAGAAAAAAAGTTATGATGTTATTTTTAATTTTTGTGTAAAAAGTGTTTAATTGTGAAAAATTAAGTTTTTGTAAGTTTGACAATGCGAGCTGAATGATGCAATATATGCAATAGTTTTAAATTACTTGCAGCTTTTATGTCTTCAATTACAATATTAACAGATTTAAGTCTGTGACACAATAATCTGGCATAAGGCAATAAATGTTTTTCACACTACTAATAAACTTTAGTTTAGCTAATTTAATTTTAACTTATTTTATTTTTCTGTTATTACTAATGTCTGTCTCTATCATAAAAATTTTATTATTAGAGAGCGTTATAGAGACCTTATTAATGCAGCAGATACAATTAAAGACATGGAATCTGAAAGTAGTCAGGTATTTACATAAACAAAAATTTAACAAATGAAAATAAATATGGTTATATAGCAGTGAGTGAATATATTGTTTACCGTTATAATAATAAAATGTTTACAACATTTTTTTTTTGTCAATTTTCTTGCCCAAAAATATTAGTATATATATTAGGTATATGACAAAAAAACTTTTTTTAAAATTTTAATTTTCATGATGTTGCATTTGATGAACTTTTACCAATAGATCACTGTTTTGAGGTTTATTTCATTGGATCACAAAAAAACCTCCCGCACCTAGCACCTCACCACTTTTAACTTTCGATTTTTCACTTGATTTTGTTCCCAGTTCTTACTTCCTTATGCTTGACTATGCTTGAATATAACTACAAATTGGAGAGCGTCAAACAGTTTAAAAAGTTAATTAACATAAAATAAAAAAGTTCGATAGTTTTAAATTGTTTTTATGTTATGTAACTCAATTTTGAATTACAAATTCTAACAACTGTTTTTCAAATTAATGTGCGTTTATTGTTGTTTGTTGTTGAGTATTTTTTAATGTTCGCGCGATTAAAATATTGAGTAGAAGTATTTAAATTTTTTTTTTCATTATTTGCAGTACTAATTTGCAAGATCTGCTGTTTAGTGCTTCTTTTTGAAAATATGTCCTTTAAAAATAAAAAGTCAAAATCAGCAGTGGAAGCAGCTGGTAAAATATGAACATAAAATTTGAAATCAAGCACGAAGCGCTGTCCTAATATACCACAGGTAAAACAGGATATGAGCGACAAATTGTGTAAAATGCCTTCCAACAGAGATATCGTTGGAAGATTCTTGGGACTCTTTAATGAATTAAAAGGACGACTTGATTAACTAACAAAAATATCAGAGGAATTGATGAATTTTTGACAGAAGTTTAATTTTCCTGTTCTTTTCAAACAACAAGTGTCTGCTAATGTTTACAAACTTATCACATCATTTGATAAATACAGAAAGCGACCAAATGCAGTATTTATAAAAAATCTTGCTCATCTGTTCGATATAACAAAACCAGATGGAAATGGATTTTGTAGTGAGGACAAACAACTGTACAAAGTACAAATTGAATCAGATGGCAGGGTGGGATATGCAACTATGAAAGTGGCTCCTATGTCAACAATCCATCCATCAAAAAGGGCCAAAAGCACATCAGAACCCTCGACAAACCAAGCGGTTATCTCCGTACCACTTTCCTGCGGTAGTGAGGATTCTGAGGAAGGAAGCAGCAGTGGTGACTCGGAGGCAGTTCCAGGAGAATCTCGCAGAAAATGTGCAACACGCCAGTCAATTAAGTCTGCTGCCAAACTAGTGTCTAGTCACTCTTTGTCAACCAGAAAAACGTCACGGGTGCTTCAAAGTCTGGCTGAGGATGGAGTTTGTGTCCCATAACCATCACAGTCTGGAGTCTGGCGTTGAACAATCAGAGATGCAGAAGAAGTTAAGAACCGCCTCATGGAACTGATTTCTGAAGAGAAATTTTCTTTGCATTTTGATGGTAAGAAAATTGACAAGACTGAGTACCAAGTTGTGTGCTTGAAAAATGACAAAAGAACATTACAACTTGGCATTTTGGTTTGTGACAGTGGATCATCTGCAAGCATATATAAACCACTACAGGACCTACTTGGTGATTACAATGCATGGAACAGTATTCAGATGATCATTTCTGACACAACAGCTGTAAATACTGGTCACAAGAATGGAGTTAAAGCCAAGCTTCAGAAAACATTTCGAGACAAGGGATTTGATGAACCTCAATACATCGGCTGCCAACACCACATTCTTGATCTTGTTCTACGACATGTGTTGGATTTCTTTTTTCCTATACAGTCACAGTCCCCTAACATTAACTACAAATTTATTGATGAGATTATGGAGCATTACGATGATTTAAAAAATGCCTACAAGAGCACAGCAGTGGTAGCAGAGTATGAGAACCTTGGCTGAAGAGATGACTTTAAATTTTTTTTTTCAGCTTTGTGAAGCATACAAGTTTTACAAAAATGAAGAAAAATGGCCTCGTATCAAATGGCACAAGCTGCCATCACTGCACAGTGCACAGTGCACATCACTGCACAGTTTCAGGTGGAACTCAAGAGGCATTTTTGCGCTTATTGCATTTTTCATCTTCCAAACTGGCGAGAACAGCTGAGGATAACTTGCGATTTCGTTGCAACTTCATGGTCGCGGGCCTGGTTTTCAAACCAGCACTATGCAGAGGCGGCATTATGAAGACCTGCTGCCAGCAATATCCCAAATTAAGTGTTCCAAAGCTGTGAAATGCTTCTTTACCCACTGGAAGAAGGAACCATCAGTGCTTGATGTGCCTTGAACCAACATAGTAGCCGAGAGAGCTGTAAAGTTGATGGGGGGCATTCGTTCTTCTTGCAGAACAAACAAATATCTTAACTGTAAATTTATTATTACTAATACACAAATCTGAAAGAATATTAACATCACTACAAATGCTGTAGGACAGTGTATTTCTCATGTATTTCTCATGTGTATTGTATATAAAGTTGACATATTATAATTAATAGCCTTTGGGCTGCTATGTGTTGTATGGTTAAATATGAAACTGTCTTAGGTGCGGGAAGTTTTTTCAAGGTATGGTGAAATCAATGTCATTTCTGTGATTTATAGGCAAAAGTTCATCATTTACAAGGGTGGAACTACTGGACGCAGGACCCTGCCTTGCGGGGGGGCCTACCAGCTATAGGGGGCCCTCATATAAAAAAAGTTATACTCTCAATAATATTTATACTATAAAAATCTTTTCCGCAAAAAAAACATTCTTTTGCGGGGGAAGGGGGGGGGAGGGGCCCAAATTTTGAAGTTCCGCCACTGATCATTTAGAACCTCAGGCTAATTGATTTAAAATTTATCATATACTTAATATATATATGATAAGTATTAATTTTAACAGTTAGGTTTAATCCCATTGTTTTAGTTATGTCAGACATTTTAATATGACGTCAAAAATATTTGTAAAAAAAACATTAATTTTTGCTGATTTTTTATTTGTTACAAGAAACTTCTATATAAGATAATAATATTTGTTACAAGAAATTCAAATTTTTTATTTGTTACAAGAAATTTCTATATAAAAGCATAAGAGTGCTTTAACAACTTTTATTTTATTTATTATTGGTTACTGAGGGTCATACTTTTGATTTGGATTAAACCTAAAAAATATTAATTAACCCATTGTTACAACTTTACATTGGTAACATCTTGTTGTTCAATCATAGTGTCATTCACTATATATAGTTCGCTCAAATTCTTTAAATAATAAAAACAGAGTAAAATAAGAAAAATATTATTAAAAAAAAACAACATTGTCAAGTTGTTTTAATCTATCCTTTATAAATATTTGATCGATAGCTCAAAATATTTGTCTCAATCTTCTACTCAGATTTATTTTCAATTTTAATCATAAGAAGTAGTTCTCAAACTCCCAACAATAATAGTGATCTGCAAGCAACCACTATTAAGTGTCTTGTCATAGAACACCACAGAAGAACACTTATCAATGAAATCCATAGTGTTTTCCTCAATAGTGTTGCAAATATGGTCAGAGCAGGAATCGAATCTCGCACCTCTTGATTTTAAGGCTATAACCAATGAAATATCATTTGTTTTATTGGAATATATATGTAATAATAAATAAAATTAGTAAGTTTGCATAATTTAAAAGTTCTTAATGGCATTAATTAAAAATTAATGATCAGCTCTTGGTATAATGGGTCCAGATATTATAAGACCCATACCCGACCCGTTAATTTAATAGGTCTAACAGGGCTGGGTCTAGCAGGTTTTTTGGTCCATAATAACAAGATACAGACCCAGTTGATACAGGTCAGGTTTGGGTGTAGACCTAACCCATTAACAGTCCTAGGGATGTTGACAGAATTGCAATAAATGTTTGTAGTAATTAACTGAGTTTTGTTGGAGTTAAAATTTACTTGCCACTGCAAGCCCCAAGATCAGATTCAAGATTGGCAGCTTGTTCTATGTGATCGAAAAAAAGAAGACTTTTTTTCAAGAAATGAGTATAAAGGTGAGTCTTCAGCAAATAGAACCACTTAAGATGTAAGGTTGTCAGGAAGATTATTAATGTAATAACAGGACCCATATAATCAGGAAGATTACTAATGTAATCAGGAAAATTATTAATGTAATAACAGGGGTCCTCTTATTACATTAAAAAATCTTCCTGATAAAATAATTCTGAGGTACCCAGAAGCTACTGGAAGTGAAGAAATTGGCATTTGAGGATGACTTTAATACTGTATATAAAAAGAAATAATTTGATTATCTCAAATTTTTTCTAGATTATATAAAACAAGTTTTTAAAAAAAAGTTATTAGACTCGTTAGAAATTATGTTAGAAATTTGTTGATGAAAGGCTCAAAGACCTTGCTAATAATAATAGTAACCTTAATAATAGTAGGAAAATTGATTGGACAATAGTTGAAGGGTTTAAAGTGTTCTCTAGATTTTTTAAAAATTGGAAATACAAATGCCAATATCCAGGAGTCAAGAAAAGAAGATTTATCCAAGCACTTATCTAATAGTTTAGAGAGAATTGCCCTAGAAGAGTTTAATTGAGATACGACTTTAGCAACAGATGTCAGAATGATTTGGATATCTTACAATGGATTAACTTGTTTAACTGGAATAGCAGGAAGAGTAAAACCATTAGATTCAAGAGTCGAGTTGAAGGAAAATTTATTCGCCTTACCCTTGGGAGAGGTGATAAGTTTAGACCTATAAATTAGATATGGAATTTTTGATTCACCTTAGTGACACTATTTAAGATTTTCCAAAAGTCTGTAGTGCCTAACTTCTGAGATAAGATACAATATTTAGTAAACTGAGGAATAATGGGGCTTGCATCATGCCTTTCATACATCAGCAACTTTTTTACATTGATTTCTTGCAATAGTAAAAAGGTGTTTGCTCTCAAGAAAGTTGTTCTTTTTGTAAAAGATGAAAAATATGGTTATGATTAGATTTAGCAGCTGTACAAGATAAAAAAAGTAGGGAAATAAAAGGTAAAAACCATAGTGTAGAATGATGCTTGACTCGAAACTGACAGTGGAGAGAGAAAAGATATCAGCACATGGACCATCACAAAAAAAATCTTAAAAAGAGAGCCTGTCAGTTTTATGGTAGTAATAAGTAGTGTGACGATAAGTTATAGTGTAGTAGTAAGTAATGCAATGATTAGTTTTATGGTAGTAGTAAGTTGTGTGAAAGTAAGTTATAGTGTAGTAGTAAGTAATGCAATGATTAGTTTTATGGTAGTAGTAAGTTGTGTGAAGGTAAGTTATAGGGTAGTAGTAAGTAGTACGATTGTAAGTTTTAAGGTATCAGATGGACATGGAAAAATTGGGTCAACTTTAAATTGAGATTTTCTAAAACCATAAATACTTATTTTTTCAATTTTTTTATATGAAATGTGTTTATATCAATTAGGGTTTCAACTTAATTTTAAGGGGCTTGATGGGCTGTTTGGCAAGAGATCAAAATTTATAGCAAGTTGATGTCATCATTTAGCAGATTTTTTCTTTTTTCTTTTACTCAACCTGTCTTACAAAGAACTTCATCAGCTATTGCCAAAAAATCTTCAAACTTGTGCTCTTCATCACGATTTGGAGGGTTTACATCTTTAGGAACAATTTTTACATTATTAACTTTTCACCACTATAGAACTTTTTTAGATTAGTGAGTAGCAACAAGATCTGGCCAAAAGAGACATCAGTATTTGTGTTATTTCAGAAATGGCAAAAGTCTTTTATAGAGGCATTCTTTGATGTAGAGATTGGCAGACAATCTGTCAATCTCTACATCAAAGAATATGATGTAGATATTGACCATATTTCATAGCTACAAATTGCTTGCCACACAAAGACTTATATGCAAATTTTTCTTGTCAAATATATTTAAATTGATCATCGGCAGATTTATCTTTGTTCTCATAGTAAAGTTGTTGACCAGAAAGTTATGAAAAATCTGCCTTGCAATATGTTTCGTAGTCTTCAGTTATGTGCATGCTTTTATCCGATATTATTTTAAACAACTTCTTTGCATGTTGAATTCCTTTAATTTCACCATTTATGTTTCTCTGAGGTGTATTTTTTTTTTTAAATGCTTTAATTCCAGCCTTTTTAAGTACTTTTAACATAAGAGCGCAAAGTCTTGAGTTTGCATGCTGTGACTGGTTCGAACTTCTTGTTATTGAACTATGAATCAACTTTTTTGCATTTATGTAAACTATTCTTTCTTCCACTTCCAGGTTTTATTTCAAAGCTTTGAGTAGTCTTAAACTTATTTATAATATCTATGACTTTAGATTTTGGGACATTTGTTCTTTTAGCAATCAAGCAATATCAAGTCGATGGATTTTGGAAAAAAAAAGTTCACATTTTTTTTAGGCACCTCAATTTGTTTCCGAAACATTTTGCAAATCATTGATTTGTAATAAAAAATTATCAACACAATTAAAGATAAGGAATTGATATTTAATTAAAAAAATAAAATAAATAAAAAGCATTTGTGGTTTTAGAGATATCTCAATTTAAAGTTGACTGGAAGTCAAGTTTTCTGTGTCCACCCGATAGTAGTAAGTAGTGCAATGAGACAAGACACAAATCAAGGAGTGGATGATTATGCCTTAAATCAAAACAAACTTAAAATCAAAACAACTATTGAAAACTTTTCTACAACTATTGAAATCTTTTCTACAACTATTGGAAACCTAATAGAATTTTTCTGATTAATGTAGTTTAGTTATTGAAAAAAATTTACCAAAATATTGTTTGTTGTGAATGATCATTTTAAATTAGCTGTTGAAATGATCTAGAGTTTGTGCAGGTATGAAATATAGAAAGAAAGTCAGTTTTGCTGCTTTTCAGGTATGAAAAGAAGCAAAACTGACTTTCTAACTGTAGACAAAGTAAGAATAATTAATTTGAGTTAATTTAATTCTTATAAGCCCTTTAAAGTTAACTTGAATGTTCAACATTAATATTTTAATGTTTGTTTGTTTTTAATATTTGCATCGACAAATCTAAAAGTGTCAGTTAAGCTGTATAGCGTAAATCAATAAAATAAATTAAAAGTAAAATTAAAAATTATTAGTTTTTTTGTTTTTTTGCCAAGGTTAACTTATTTATTGCTTAATTCAATGATTATGTTTACTAAATCATATTATTTAAAGATGTACATTTCATTATTTGCTTTAAAACAATGATGGCTGTTTTTTGTTAAAGTGATTTGTAATAATCTTTGCCCTACTTATTTATGTTGCAAAAAAAAAAAAAGATCTGATGTACTTTTAGTTGATAAAAAGAAAACTATTATGTTGTTTATAAACAATAAAAATAAGTAATAAGTAATAAACAAAGTATAGTTATTTTTCTATTTAGGTGTTTGGTGGTATAAAAAATATACAAAACTTATGTTTGAGTTTTCATACTTCTCTTATGTCTTCATGTTCTAGCAAGATTACTCAGTAAGTGTTTGATGTTCTTGCGAGATTACTCAGTAAATACTTTATAAAATAGTTTGATATGTTTTAATTTAACAGTTGTGTTTAATAAGTTTTGTAATTTGAAAACAATTATTTATAAAAACACTATTATTTAAGAAACAATTTTGTTGAATTGAAAATTTAAAATAAAATATTTTTGTACAATTAAATATATTTTAAAGAAATTCTATAAACTGTAATAAGTTGATATCCATAAGATTTAAAGTTTTAGTTTTAATATCTTTTAATGATTTAATAGATCTCCACGAGATGTTGCCTTTTATTCATTAGCTACTCAAATGGATCTTTTAGTTAACACACCTGAAAAGGTTTGTTGTAATCATTTATCTTTTAATTTGTTATTATTTTTTAGTTGCTTTAATTTTTAAAATTCCAACTTAATAAACTTTTTCAGGCAAAGCAAAAAAAGTTTTTGCAAAAAAATACATGTTCTTCATATTAAAATTTTGCTGCTTAAACCCAAACCTTTTGTTGATGTACTGAAGCCCCCACAAATAGATTTTACCTTATGAACTAATCAGTATTAGTTGACGTTCACTCACATTTATGCTCCTTAGTATGTTATTAGCTTTTAAAATATTTGCTATACATGTCAGTTACCTGCATTTTACTTATTTGTTCTATCATTCAACTTATTTTTATATATAATATCAACAGTTCTCTATACTGCTCAGATCTGGGGGATTTTTCAAGCCAGTCAAACACCTGAAAGTTTTATAGTTTGAAACAACTCCACAACCCTGTTTTGGCTTATGGCATGGGGTCAAATCTGAGGAGTTCCAAAAAATGAGTAGCTTCATGTAAAGTCATAAAATTGTAGAGTTGATTCTCTAGTGCATTTAAGTATCTTAATTAAGTTTAATTTATGTTTTAATATATATATTATTAATATTAGGTAATTCCATGTCAATTGAGCCAAAAAATTTCAAAAATGTCACCATACATCTCAGATTTTGCTGATTTTTATACAGTTGAGAGTACTTAGTAAAACAAAAAATCCTTGAAAATTTTAGCTTCTAGCTCCAAGAGGATCATGAAATATGATCATTTTACTTTTAACTGATCTTGACCAGGCCCCTCTTGTCCCCTCAGAAGTGTGATCTTTGTTTAAAGGTTCCAAGTCACATAGCTTTAAAAATATTTGATTTCCATATATGGTTAACGGGGAACAGGCCCCACTATTTTGTAGCAGAATCTTGCCATACATTTTTCACTACCTTTCAGACTAGCTGGAACGATGAAAATTTTGGTATTTATGTAGTGTCAATAAATGTGCATTTTAAAATTAAAAAAGGGCCCAAAACACTAGGGGAGGGGGCTGGAGAGATGTGCCCCACTTTTTTGCCCGGAATCTTGAGATGGATTTTTCAGTATCTTCCAGACTAGTTGGAGCTTTGAAACTTTCAGCATTTGTGTAGTCCTGATAAACATGCATTAAAATTGTTTCAGGTCAGATGACCAGAAGGTCCATGGGGCTGGGGCACTGGGGACCATGCCCCGCTTATTTTCTCAAAAAAAAATTTTTTTATTTGTGTCTTAAATTTAAGATAACTTTGAAAATATTGTATTCAAATATTTTATTGCTTTATGCTTGTTCCGTTTTACTTCATTATTTACAAAATAAAATACAAATAAAAGAAATTGTCAAGATAATGCTAAGATTAACTTAGATGCATCGACAGTCAAAGTATACAAACATCCATTTGTTGTTACAGGTGCATTAATTATACAAGTTATGTTGGTAATTGGAACCCAACACTCATCTACTCTAGATGGCCAGAAAAGTTTATTAAAAGGACCGTGCGGGTGCATAAACATTACCATAACATCTTGCTCTATAATATCAATTTCATTGATCATACCAATCCAATCAAATGCATCATATTTACACATAATGAATTCACCGAATTTCAAGGCATCAATGTTAATTTGCTGATCATTTTGAGAACTTTGAATACCAGAAAAAGAAAAAATGCCTGTTATATGAACATCTTCACTTGTTCGTTTAAAGCTAATAGTATCTATAGATTTTGGTTTAAATTGATGATAGCTCCTAGTTCCAGGGATTGTTCTACTTATCTCAAAACGTGTTTTCAAAGTGGTGCGCAATTCTGTCAGTCTTTCTTTTTCAATCTTGAAAAAAATAATCCCTTTAATATTGTTAGTACAGTAGTCAAACATTTTGTTACAATTCAATATCTGGTCATTTATGGGCCTTTGTAGACTTGCATTTGTAGTTAATCATTTTACAATGCCACCAATACCATCACATGATGACTTACCATGACTTGTAGCAAAAAATGTCCACTCTGCATCAATATCAAAATCATTTTTATGGAGACAGATATTGTAAAGGTTTTTGTGGTTTTTATACTGTGCAGCACAGCCATCAGAAAAATAAAGAATCTTTGAAATTTTAGGATGATATTCTTTTAAATAGTTTACTATTTGTGTTTGAACTTCATACACAAAACCAGTGTCATGCTCATTATCTTCTGACATAGAACAAAACGATTTTTCTTCAAGTTGGTCGTTTTCGTTTAATAAATAGAGGGCAACAGGGTGCAATGTGCATTGACTTTTGCACCAATGCACAGTGGGCCAAAATCATTATTAGCTGGACAAAATTAATAACTTTTAAAATATTTATCAGGTTTTTCCCATAATTAGCAGCTTGAGTATATTTCATATAACAAATCTAATGGCACCATTAGATTGTTTATTTGGTTGCCATGGATACCTATATTTCATGTCAACAGGCATTTTGCATAGTTACCTAAATAAAAAGACTTTCTCAAAATATCAAAGTTATAAACTAAACTGATATTAATGCTACATTGCTATTTTATCTATTTGAATGATAACACAAACAAAAAATTATCAATTTTTGGTGTTACTATGCTGTTATGTGCTCTTAGAAACCATTTGGTAATTTTTTTTGAAACTTTTTTCTAATTCAAAATTTCTTTAAAAAATGAAATAAAAACTTTTAAAACACTCTTAACTATAAAGGTTTACAGGAACAGTTAATTAAATTTTAACTGTGTAGTTTAGATACCCTTAGCAACCATATAAAAATAAGCAAGTTTTTATGCAATTAGAGATACAAAAAATTTTATAACGAATATATAAGAAAACAAACTTTTATATTCATTATTTTATTATGTAAATATTAAATACTTATAAAGTAAACACCATCTTAAACACCAACGAAAATCAAAACTATGTCATTGACACTTAGTCAAAAATTGGAACCTCTTTAAGAAGATCAAAAACTCCATTTGGAAGAGCGTTTTTCTTAGGATGATGGGGTTTTCTCAAACTACTTATCAAAGGGTCAGAAGAACACATTAGTCGCCTTAATAAATCTTCATTTGTTTTGGAACGCGAACACTTTCTAGAAAATGATTCTCGAAATTTCTTAAAATTTTTATTTTGAGCTTCTTGTGCCTCTTCGCTGAGCATGCCAATAGGCAAAGCCATTCTCTCTACAATTTGCCAACCATGAATAAGAATGTGATGCAGACTCTGTGGCATATGATACCATGGATAAAGGATTACATACTTCTCAGCTGTTTTGTAGCAGTATTCTCTAAATAGTAAAGAATCAATTAGAAAGTTAGATGACAATGTACACAAAATCACATGCAACAAGACCCAGAGCCACCAGATGTTGGCATATCAATTATCAGTCCAACTTCATCACGAAACCTTATCTGGATTTTCTGTTTTCGTTCTTGAATAATTTTCTTTTCAGATATAGTTCTTGTAGCCCACTTTTTCACTGTCAATTTATAACTAATTTTAAGAAGACATTCCATGCTTTTAATCCAAGCATGGAGAGTTGAAAGACCGAAGCAGAGACCTATCTCTGTCAATGGCATATTTTTAGCTGCATTAAGATCATTCATTTTTTTTGGGCTGCATCCACAAACAGAACAACACTGAGAAGATGTAGTTGCTGTAGATAATGCTGTAGCAACTTTGCCGTCCACCATCGTTATTTCAATTTTATGAAGTATTGTTAAGTTTTCACAAAATGTTAAAGACAAATTTGCAATTGAATTGTTAATAAACTGATTCTCTTGTTTCAAAACTTCAATGGTTTCTTTTTTAAATGAAAATCTTATTGGTCTGCAATATAAAGTTGAAGATGGATGTGGATTAGACCAAATTATTATTTTTTTATCATTAATGAATCCAAACAACTGAAGTGGAACAAAACAAGAAATAAACAAACTAGCTTCTTCTAAAAGATCTCTGTTTTCTTTCTCAACTGTTACTTGATTATAAATCCTTTGGCTAGTTGATCCATCAAACCCAACTTTAGAATATAAAGTCAACCTTTCAAGATCATTCATTGAATGAATAACTTGTTTCTGCAACTGTATTAGGCGTATTGCTGTATGATCGACTAATGCTTGAAAGTTTATTTCTGCTGAAAAATCATTTACAGTCCATAATGTTTTTTCAGGAAGACACTGTTCTTTAGCAGCACGAACATCATTGTAAGCAGGATAGAGATTACAACCTTTGCTCAAAGCATTATTTCTCAAGCGTTGGTAATCAGATTTGCTCATATCAATATCTAATATGAGTGCTAGAGCTTCATTTAGAGTGTTTTGAGTATGTTCTATATCAAAAGGTTGCTTAATAGATAAACTTCGAACTACTTTTGCATCCTTTCTTCTGCTATCTTTAAAAAGATTACAACTACTAGTATACAACAGTTCATTTGATGAACAAGTTAATAAGTCCATAGCTGCTACTTTACGACTCTTTGTCTTATTTGATGAATCATCAAATAATTTTACAGGTCGACCACTAACTATAGATTCAGTTTTATTATCCTGATTTTTAAATGACTTAATAAAGTCTTTTTGAAGCCATACTGAATTATGTTTCATAAAGTTTTCATCAATTCTTTTACTTAAAGACCAACGTTTACGATACTTGGACAAAAAGGTTACAAACTGAGCATCAAATTCAGAACAGTATTCACGAATAAAATTGTAAACATAAAGTTTGTCTTTTTCATTAGACATAGATAAACCATGCTGTCTTATGAATTGATGAATTTGATATCTTGTGATGGTTGACATATTACTAATAATAATATTATTAGACTAAAATAATATAAACATTAAAAAGTTGTATTAACATATATATATATATATATATATATATATATATATATATATATATATATATATATATATATATATATATATATATATATATATATATATATATAAATACTTGTTATTTTGCGACAAAAGAAACTTGAAAAAGAAACATCTTTGATTTTATAAAGTATAAGTATTAAAAAGTATTATAAGTATTAAAAAAAGTAGCAGACACTAGCAGCTAAATTAATAATTTTATAAAAACATATACATATAGCCTTCAAAATATGTATAAGAGATAAAGGCAAAATAGAGCACAAATTTTTCCTTGTTGTCTTTTCAAAAAAAATTAAAAAAAAAGTCCAATTTTTACCAAAAAATATATCTAAAACTGGTTTTAAATTTTTTTTTAACTTTTTTTTTTTTATAAATTTTATATAATAACAATTATTTGATATGTTAATAAAAACAGTTAACCAATATACTAAAAATTTATTACACACTTTTGCTTTTTTAAAAACTACATTTTCTCACTTTATCGCCATTTTTTTTTTGCAAAAATTTTACTTGAAATGAGTTTTTGTTGAGAATATATATTTTTTTAATTTATTGTAATTATTTTTAAGGTCCTCAATGTATCTAAGTAAAAACTTTTTAAAAAGAATTTCAGTTTTCAGACATAAATTTTTTTAGTTTTGTCCACCTACTGGCCCACTGTGCAATGGTAACTTTGGAATTATCTTGAATCACAAAAGTGAAGTTTTCTGCAAAGTCAACTAAGACAATACAGCAGTTTTTTGCTAAATTTTCCTTTTGTTGCTTTAGGTATCTTGATTGACATTTTGAAATGTAGGAATGAGCTGTTAACTTGTTTATTGCCTCTGATAACATCAATTTGTATTCTTCAATTGTTGTTGTCTGATAGATCAATGTTGTTCTGTCTGTTTTCTGCCGCTGATTGAATGACACCTCCTCGTCATTGTCATTATCAATTAGTTGTGCATCCAGAAATTTCTTTAAAGAAACCATACCTGGACAGTTCGGACATCGATGAACCATGCACTCGTTACTTGTCACATCACAAACAACTTTTGTCATCATATCTTTGTAAGTACATTTCATTTGTATAGCATTGGTCAAGAGTATTGCATTTTGATGGAGGGTACATACACAAACAGAATGAGTGCCTGATGCTCCAACAGTTATACACCATTTTGGTCTTAAACTGCAAAACTTAGAAAATCCAATAACTTCTTGAGGATATTTAGTTTTAAAAGAAACATAAGGTTCTTTAAGATTACATAAAATAAGACGCTTTTGCATGTGTTGTTTTCTACCAATACTTACGTAATCTTTTTTACCAGGCATTTGTCTAGTAAATTCTTCATCATGGTATATATTGTTGACTCTATTTAATGTTATTTCTGAAAATGTTTTTCCTTTCTTAGTGCCTGGAACTGAAAAAATTCCACTTATTTTCTTTAGTTTGCGCGCTTCTTTAATTTGGTATATAGTGATGTTAAAATATCTTGCAGCAAAATTTCTTGACCAAGACTCGGGTGTAAATGTTAATAACTGAATTTTAGTTTTTTGGTCAGAAACAATTAACTTTTTTTTTATTTCTGCTGTTAGTTTGTCTAAATCATCACATTTACTTTTGTCAATAATTTTCGTATGAGGAATTTTATGTTTCAGTTCTTCTTCCCTAACATTATATACTTTTGAAATATGCTCTTCATACTTTGACATTATTTTTATAACTTTACTTTTAGCAACAGATAGCCGTTAATGCTTTGGAATGCCATGAAGTTTTATGGGGGATACACCTATTGTTTCCAAACTAACATTTAATGCCTCTCGTGACTTTTCAGAAGTAGCACATGAAATAGATTCCTCAAATTCACAATTATCTTGTTCATGAAATTTACTGATTATAGCGTCAAAGCAGCTCCGACAAAGTTGATATCCAGGCACAACGTTTGGAAAATTAATTCTCAATTGTTTTGCCATGTCTAATGTTATTACATGACTCCCTGAAAAGAAAAGAACAATTTGATTTTAGTAATTGCCTATGAATATGAAAATTATTTGTACTTATTTCAATATACATTGCATAACCAGATCAGCTTTTTTTCAAACTTTTATAAACTAGTAGATTTTAATTTCATTATTCAAAAAAGATTTTGCAGTAATTTTTTATCAACAATATTTACCTTTGATTGCTTTTTTTTTTGATTTATGCTTGTCCGATAAATTACAACATTTTGTGTGCTTCTTTTCAAAGTGTGTACCAAAAATCTTTTCATGATGAAGGCAGATTGTTAAAATTTTATCACCTGTTATTCCAGATCTCCAAATAAATTCTTCTCTGGCATCTTCTCTATAGCAATCAAATTTCTTTAAATCAATCTTTCTACAATAACTTAGTTTATGACAAGTATCATTTAATTTTTTTCCAAAATCACATGAATCTATTCTTACTGTAACACTAAAAACATTTTGAGATTAATTTAAAAATGAGAAACCAATAGTAATTAATTCAATGAAAGCAACTTAAGCAATCACTATGGTAATACAAAACTAAACAGTGATTGATTTCTTTTATCTTACTTTGACAAAAAGAAAGTTTCTATTTCACAAAGTTTAATTATAATCAATTTGTTAATGTTAAAAATGTTAATGATGACTTTAATAGGTAACAAATTTTATCTATACTAGTGTAATGACAGGATGTTTTTTGTTACTGTAAATAGTTCTTATTTAATAAAATAACTTGCTGTTAACATTTTAGAATTAGCAAATATCAAATAAAATAATGATTTTGAAAAATTAATAAATTTCTTTTTTATTGATATAATGTTATGACAGGATGTTTTTTTCTGTTGGAAGTTAATTAAACAACTTGCTGTTACCATTTTAGCATTAAGATATATTAATCTTTTTCAATTTAAATTTTAAATTATACAAAGTAAAATTCTGTTAAAACCATTATTTTAGACTGTTTTTAATCTTATACATGCAAATCAAAATTCTTATAAACATTAACTTTCTTAAAACATTTTAAGAAAGATCATTGAACATAGAATGATCAAAAACCAAATTGAACAAATATAAATCACAAAAATTTGTGGAAGCAATTTATTTCACAAAAATTTGTGGAAGTAATGTTATCAAAGATATGTTTAACGTTGTTAAAAATGAAAATTTAAAAAAAAAATTTTGAAGACAATAGTTTCAAAGTTATCTTAAATGTGTTAAAAAAAAAAAAAAAAAATTTTTTTTTGAGAAAATAAGTGGGGCATGGCCCCTGGTGCCCCAGCCCCATGGACCTTCTGGTCGTCTGACCTGAAACTATTTTAATGCATGTTTATCAGGACTACACAAATGCTGAAAGTTTCAAAGCTCCAACTAGTCTGGAAGATACTGAAAAATCCATCTCAAGATTCCGGGCAAAAAAGTGGGGCACATCCCTCCAGCCCCCTCCCCTAGTGTCTTGGGCCCTTTTTTAATTTTAAAATGCACATTTATTGACACTACATAAATACTAAAATTTTCATCGTTCCAGCTAGTCTGAAAGGTAGTGAAAAATGTATGGCAAGATTCTGCTACAAAATATTTTTTTTTTTTATATCATCAATGTTGATATAAAAAAAAAAATTATATCAAATTTTTTTTTTTTATATCATCAAGGCCACATGGCTTTCTTGAGCATCAAAATCAGGTATATAGAAAATTGCCTAAATTTATTTAAATTGATAATTACAAGTACTTAAAAATATTTTTTTACATTTCTGATTATTTCATTGGATTCTTCGACCCTGAAAATAGCCACGTACAAATTTTTCAAAAGTCAAAAGATCAAATATTTTTAAAGCTATGTGACTTGGAACCTTTAAACAAAGGTCACACTTCTGAGGGGACAAGAGGGGCCTGGCCAAGATCAGTTAAAAGTAAAATGATCATATTTCATGATCCTCTTGGAGCTAGAAGCTAAAATTTTCAAGGATTTTTTGTTTTACTAAGTACTCTCAACTGTATAAAAATCAGCAAAATCTGAGATGTATGGTGACATGACCTGGCTCAATTGACATGGAATTACTCAAATACCAATATCCATTTTATGAAAATGATAAAGAATCTTTAGTTGGACATGAACTGCCAACATTTGTTACGGCTTAACACAAACTCCTCTTAAAAGCAAATCATTTTGTATCAAATTAAATAATAATTTGATACAAAATGCAATAAAATTTTTTTTTTTTTTTTCTTATGCAACCTAAATATTTAAAAAATCAAGTTATTAATTCAAACTTTTAATATATATATATATATATATATATATATATATATATATATATATATATATATATATATATATATATATATATATATATATATATATATATATATATATACTCACACACACACTCCTAGTCAGCACTTACGGAGACATGTTTTTTTTGTTCCCGTTTTTTGTTTTTTTGTTTTTTACTTTTTATATACTATTTTTATCTTAAATATAATTTTTTAATTTTTATCATATTTTTCTTTTTGTTTATACATATTTAAATTTATTATTATTTTTTTTAAATATGTTTTTTATATTTATTGTTATTTTTATTTATTTGTTATATATTATATTTCATTTTTATTTTCATCTAAGTACAAAAACAATTAATTACAGTAATAAAAACCATATTTTAACCTTGCCTAACCCTAAGCCTGACCTTGATGCTGACCCAAATCAAACCCTCAGTCAATATATAAATAGCCTAACTTGCATCAAATAGCCTGACTCGCAACCCTCCGCTGCGAGTCAGGGTATTTGCCCCCGTAAATGATACTATAGGGTGTATATATATATATATATATAATGGTTATACTTTTCTATTAGTGGGAATTAGTAGTTCTTTTGCAAATGGGTTATTATAGAATTATTTTGAAAATGTAAGAAATAAGAAATGGGTATGATGATATTTTATTTACTAATAATGATTTGTATTTGCAAATATTGTAATTATTTTCTGATTTGTTTTAATTATTTTAAAGATATGGAATGCACTTGACAATCATGAGTATTTAAATGCAACTCAACTGTATATGTTTTCACATCATATTGTTAACAAGAGTTTAAATATTTTGGTCAATGATCCGAAGCCATCTAATAGTCAAGATGTCTATGTAAGTATGTACAAAATTTATTTTGTTTGTTATATTAATGGTTATAAAAATACAGAAACATAAAATGTGATTTTTTTTAATCATGCTTAGTGTGATTTATGCAGTATACTTTACTTATATGTTATTTGATATATAAAATCATTTTTTTTTTAATAATTGATAATTTAACACGAGAAAACATTCTGTCTGTGTAGTACCTTGTGTCTCTGCGTATAATTCAGTACATAGCTTACTTTTTCTTTGTGTGTTTTACTTTCACTTAGTGTGTGTTTTTTTATGTGTTGCTGTGTATTTTCTTCATTTTCTTTTTATTATATTTATAATTTTTAAAGAGTTTTTTCTTTTTCATGTGCTTAATAAAATGTTTATTTTAAATTTAAGGCCTCATTTCCAGTATTACATCACCAATGGGCAGCAATTAGTCACTTTAAGACATCTATTTTAAAGGTATTTTAATTTTTTTTAAAGGTTTTTTCTCGGTTCTTTGCTATATCTTTAAGTCTGCTCCAGAATCTTAATAATCAATATATAGAGGTTATTATTAAACTTCTAATAATCAACTCATAATATTCCTTATAATAATCAACTCATAGTATTCCTTATAATAATCAACTCATAATATTCCTTATAATAATCAACTCATAATATTCCTTATAATAATCATAATAATATTCTTGCTGATAATAATCATAATAATTTCTTATAGCCTAATAAAGTAATCATGAATATTAATAAAAATGATAATAAAACAAGAATATATAAGAGTAAAGTAGAAAAAAAAAAGTAATAAAATTAATTTATAAATTTTTAAATGAAGGTTGGATTAATGACTTGTTTTTTTGTTGGTAATTGATCAAGTTGTTTTTTTTTAATTGATAATTGGTTGTGTTAAATTTCAGGACTGGATTAACTAGTCACAAATTGTGATATGCTTCTGATTTTAATTTTTTGTTTTTTAAAAAACTATTAACTGTTTTTATCACAAAACTCAATAGTTTGTTATCCATTAGGAAATATTTATGCATTGATCTTGAAATTATGATGAAAAATCTCATTATAAAACCATATTATTATAATTGTTATTATTATTACTAAAAATTATAAATTAACCTTCAATAGCTCAATTTATTTGATAAATCATTAGATAAAACTAAAAAAGTAATACAGAACAATTTAATATTAAAAATGAAACATCTGCAAATCATAACAGTTAAATGGAATTTTGCAGCAATCAAATGTATTAATTAATAAATAATCTGACTTTTTTTATATCTTATCTAAATCTTATTTTCAATATTTTCTTATAAATCTAATATAATTGTCAATTAAGTCAATTTTTAGTATTATTTTTTACTGGTTCATTTTAGAATTGCTGTGCATTTTATGGACCATTAGTAATTATTATTTTAACTTTTTATTTCTAATACTTATATTGACTGGTCTTTAAAGGAACAAATTGTAAAAAAGTTGTAAATTTATTGTTTTGTTTTTTCGTCAGTTTTTGCTGTAAACTGACTCTTTTATTAAAATAGTGTTCAGTATTTTATGAGGATGATAAAACTTTAAAAAATGATAAAAGTTTAAAAACCAGAAAGATTTCCAGATTTTGCAATTCACAATAACTAGGGCTTGGAAAACACCAGAAAATTTCAAAAAACAAGTTTTTTTTTTTTTTTAAATTGTTAAACCCGGTAACCTAGGCTTGGCAAACAAAATAATTAAATATAAAAAAAAAAAAAAGCTCAAACTAAATAAATATAAAAAGTTTTTTCATTAATTATTAAATATTAATTTTTTATTAATGTCTAGTAACACCTTTTTTTATTCATTATTAATTTAGTTTGAATCCATCCTTTTTGTGGCAACTCAATAACCTTTTTTTTATTTTTATACTAATCATAACTTAATATATTTTCAACTGAAAATTTTGTATTTTGCAAAATTATAAGGTAAAAATATAGTACAATTTATAATATTTAAGTTAACAGAAAAGCCAAAATTACAAAAGCAAATTTGTTGGTAAGAAATTTATTTTTGTTATTTAATTATTTTAATTTGAGATTATTTAATAATCTCATATTAAAATAATTAAACAATAATAACAAAAAATTAAACAACAAACGAAATGAAATAACATATAAAAATATCATAAAAAAAAAAGTTGACTAAATACTTCAAGTTAGTGTTACTTACCTTTATTGGATTATTTTGATTATTATAAGTATTTTAAAATTTAAATATTGTTGAAAGATTCTGTCAGTATGTAATCTAAAGTTAATCCAGTAAGTCAAACACCGGTTAACTCAAACTTGTGTTATCTCTAACTGTTTTATTTTTTTTCTTGAATTTGTCTAATTGATTACTATTAGAGTTCTCCTGTTAACTCGAACCTCAGATAATTTATTAATTTGAACCACTTTTTTGTACCCTTTTAGCAAATTTCTTCAATTATCTCAAACTTTTTGTATAGGAAATAAGGAAATCAAATTAGTTTGATTTATTCTTAAGAAGTCCATATAAAACATAAATATAACAGTAGCCTTATATTTATAACAGTAGCCTTATATTTTATATATTTTTACGTTTGTTTTTAAATCTGAATAGAATAGATTATTATCGGACGTAAAATAATGCTGAAAATAATAATTAATGTAACAAAACAAATCTTAATACAATTGAAAATAATTAAATTAATTTATTTAATATATAAGACATAAAATACAGATAAGTACTACTTTTTAATTTGTCAATGTGATATTTTAGTCTGATTAGCTCAGACTATCATCAGACATCTTTTATGTCTGACTAAAAATATAAATAAATTAAAAGTTAGTACTTAGCTACATTTTATGTTTAGCACATTAAATAAATTATCAAGTACTACAAAAAACGTCATTGAAAAATTGAGCATTGAATAAAGAAAGTCCTCCTTAACTTGAACTATTATCTGTTACATGTCAAAATTTGACAGGAATTTGCCTAGCATGTTTTTTCAGAAAAAAAACCTGCTAGGCAAGGTTTTCAGTTTAGAGCAAAAATCTGGTTAATGTGTTGCAATTGCCTCCGGTTGCCGAGCCTTAACGATTAATTTTTTTGCCCCTGTGTTTTATTTTGTTTTAAAATTGTTTTATTTTTTAGTTGATAATTGATTGTAACGTGTTGTTCATACTTTTATGCAACAAAGATTGTATTTGAGTGTTGTAGCACATTGAATATTATTCTACAAAATAAATAGTATTGTTTAAAGGATAAATTATTTTGTAAGTATTTTGGATATTTTTAGGGGGCTGAGTATTCTTTAAAAGATAAAACTCTTCCAGACAAGGTATTACTTTGAAATTTTATAATCTGCTGAATTTTTTCAACAGATTTAAATTTAACTTTTTTTGTGTGTGTAAATGGAAAATTTTACTATTTACTATATTAATTAATTTACTATTTATTTTATTTTATTAATTAATTTGTTTTTTGTTTTTTTGATTTCCAAGTTTACTGACTAGTTTGACAATTTTTAAACTTTTTTTTATAAGTTTGTATTTAATCTTGTAGCCTAAGAAAAAGTCTTTTTCATTGCATCTTGTTTAAGCTATCCACTACTAGGGCAGTCCATTTAAAACTTTTTTTTGAAATTTTAACCCTGTTTGTTTGTTTTTTTTTAGTCAAAAAATGCTAAATACTAAAAAATTCAATTTTTGGACATTTTATAGATCCCCGCAAAACATTAAAAGTTCAAGTAACAGAGTTGTGTAGATGTTGCACGATGTTCTTGCCTACTAACTGTTATTATTTCTAGTGGAGTTCAATTTAGTTGTTAATCACTAAGGAATAATTCTACAAAACTTTATTAATTTATGTCTACTTGTACTTATTGCACAAGAGATTTATTTTAAAACATCCTGGAGAAAAACACGAGCATACATTAAAAAACAAATATTATATTGCACATTGCTTATTAGATAAAAATCAGTTAGATTAGGCAGAAAATATATTTAGGAATGTAGAGGTTATGCAAATAGAAGTTTTATGGAAAAGGTCACGAGGATTCATTGAAAACTAAATATTTTATTACATATTGTTGTGTAATTAGTTACTCTCACTCTTATACTTTTACAAACATCTTGAATCATGTCATTGCATTGATACTTTCATGTCATTGCATTGATACTTTCATATCATTGCATTGATACTTTCATGTCATTGCATTGATACTTTCATGTCATTGCATTTGCATTTAATATTGTGAAATTATATTTAAGGAAGTCATTAAGTCTTCAGTTTTTAATTCTCTTGAGGCAAAAGTAGTTCTTAAAAACATGCTACAATATTAATAAGTATAAGTTGCTACAGTTTGTTTGTTTGCTACAGTTTAATGTAAAACGTTTTAATGAGCCTTATCCTATATCCTTTTAATCTTGCAAATGTCTAAACATATAGTTACTAACAGTGTTTGATTTACAAGCCTCAGTCTTGTATTAAATAATGGCAATGGCTCTCATTCCAAAGAAGGTTGATAGACTTAATAAAGGTGGGGGAAATGTATCAATTGAAATGTATCAATTGAAGCAGTAGAGAAAATACTCAGATCAGTAAAACAAATGTTCATTAGATCCAATACATATTCTAGCTATTGCTATGAATAAAAATATTGCTGCTAAAATAAGCAGACATTTTTGTTTAAATCATTCGATTGTTAGTTTTTTTCCTTACAAACTTTAAAGGAAGAGAACTACCATTGATTAGAATTGTATTGCAATAATATCTTTTTGAGAGAGAAAATGATCATAAAAAACATGCAAATCATCAGATTATTGAAAACTTTTAGTTAACTGTTCATATTCCAACAAAAACTAGCGAGAATGATTGTGTTGATCAGATCTTCCATTTGGTAATCGAATATGAGATACTAAAAAAAATTCCTGAAAATAAAAGACAAGAAAAAAAAGTAAAATAAAAAGCTACATGTTTAACATTAGAACTGGTCAGTCTGCTTTTAGTAACGTGATTAGTTGTATATTTGTTAATAGTTTAAATCTTCTGTGGGATATGCACAAATATTATGTATTATAATTTAATTGTGTGAATCCCACTAGAAACAATTACAATTAGTGGATAAAAATGTTACACAACATTTGTTTAATCTGTTACTCTAATATCCAATGTTTTTTGGGGGATCTAAAAAGCGTCCTAAATTCAAATGTTATCACCTGTAAAAATCTCTAATTGGACCACCTTAATCCACCATGTAATTGGAACAGCTGTTCACATTTGCTTCTCACATTGCCCTATGCACCACTACAGAAACATTGAATATAAACATTGACTGCAATAAAATGATTTTTATAATTTTTTTAGAATGATTCTTATCAAATTTTTTAGAAAATGATTTTTATCAAACAGTTATGAAAACTTTTTTTAAGCAAAAAACTTGGTGATTGGTGTATTTGCAATATTTTTGACGAATATTATATCTAGAAAAATTTATTATCTTAAATAAAAAGTTTTTTTCCTAAATAAATTAAATTAATAAGAATTACCACAACAATTAATAAAGTCATAACATAAAAATACATTAGAGTCATAAGATAAAAGTACAGTTGTTACCTAAAAGTACAGTTGTGACATAAAAATACAATTGTGACTAAAGTACAGTCATAACCTAATCGTATTTGTGGTACAACTGTACTTTTATGTTACAACTGTACTTTTATGTTACAATTGTACTTTAAAAACATAAAAGGACAGTTGTAACAAAAAAGTACATTTTACTTTAATGCTAACATTTCAAAGATTATATAAGTTTGTAATTTCCAAAAAAATATATAAATGTTAAAATTTTAAAAATAATTGAAAACGGTTTTTATATCTGTTTAGTAAGAATTATTTTTTTACTCCTTCATATAAAATGATAGAAACTTATTTTTTAGATAAATATTAAAAACAAAAAAAGTGTTTAAATTATTCCATCACTACTTACTATTTAGAAGTTATGTGAAAGTCTTTGCTCGCTTGCATTGCTGGACAATTGTTCTCCACGACAAGTATTTGCAACTCTTTTGCTTGCTAGAAAGGTAACTTCTCTAATTTTAATAAACTTTTATTTAAAAAAAATAACAAAAAAAAACTAGTTCCAAATGTTTTCTAATAGTTTTTTAACTTTCTTTACCATAAAAGTTCAGTTATTACTCAAGCAATGTAACAATGTTGAAGTTTCCATTTAAACATTGTTACATAGTTTTTATATATTTATTTATTTATTTATAGGCTGCTATTCAAGATGTTTTTCGTTCAAATATATATGGTATGATTTTTGTATTTTTTTTTTTGTATGATTTGAATCACATGGTAGCAATCAATTTAATTTGATAACAATCCATTACTTTTTTTTATTATCCTTTTTTTTTTTTTTTTTGAAGCAACAAGTGTGAAAAAACAGATTGTTGAAATTGCATACATTTTAAAACTTACAATTGAACAGATGACTTTGTTTTATTCTGAAGAAGAAGTGAATGGTAGGTTAGATTTTTACTTGTATTAAAAAAAAAACAGCTTAATGTTAAAAATAGTTCTTTAAAATTTTAATCCAAAATACTTAACAAATGATTTAATGCAAAGGTACAATAGATAGAGTGTTGATAGGATGATATGTATGATGTTAGCATGGTTTGTGAGTGCTTGCAATCTCTATAAAATAATAATATAAAATAGGTAATAGGTATCTAGAAACATTAGAGGAAAAAAAACTTTCTTTTTCTTTTTCTTTTAATTACTTTTTCATTAAATCACATCCTTAACACTTTTTTTAAAATTTTCATAATATTTTTAAAATTTTCATAATATTTAATCAATGTTTCATAACAATATTTCATAATAATGATTCTTTAGAATATTTCATAATAATAATAATGATTCTTACTTTAGAATATTTCATAATAATAATGATTCTTACTTTAGAATATTTCATAATAATAATGATTCTTACTTTAGAAAAGTCTTTGTTTTATGCAATATTATCACAAATAACAGAAGAAAGATCAGATAATAAGACAGGTTTTTTTTTACTCTAGATGTTTTAATATTTCATACTTTGTTTAATATTGCTTTATAATTTTAATTTCATTTATAATTTTTGTTAGTAGTTTTTATATTAATACCATTTTTTTTTAATTATTTTTTGTTTTTTTAATTTTAATATTTTATAACTTTTTTAATGTTTTCATTTAAACAGTAAAGAAAGAAACTCTTTTAACCTTATTTTTATTTCTGTTCATTGACATAATTACTTGAAATATTGGTATAATTACTTGAAATATAAAATTCTGTCAGATTACCTGAAACATAAAATTCTGTCAAATAAAAGCATTTTATTTAGTTGGCTAAAGATACAACATGATATCATATAAATCCTCATTGTATCTTTATAAATAGAAATAAGATTTCTAGAATATTTAAATAACTTGATACCAGCTGGTGTATGAAGTTATTTAAAAAACTTGATACACCACCATCTGGTGTATCAAGTTATTTAAATATTCTAGAAGTCTTATTTCTATTTAATTGTAAAAGATAATCACAACATTTCTTACATGCAGTTCTATATGTATAATATCAGATGACTTTAATCTGCCATCAGGTGACAATCATCAGTTTATCATCTATCAATCCCAATTAGTTTTGGAGATCTCATAATTTATTTGTAGAAAGATGCTCTTCAAATGCCTTAAGCCACATGTATCTAATAACACTTAGGCATAATAACCTTTTTAGGTCTAATACTTAACAACTATAAAAATGTGTTTAATGAAAGAAACTATTGCTCTATTCACAAGCATCTTGTGAATGAAGCAATAGTTTCTTTGACCACTGTTTCAATAGTAATTTGAAAAATTCTAAATTTAGTAAAAACCAACCAAATATTATTTTCACAAAATATTTACCTTGCTTAATTACTTAATTTAAAACTTTCCTTAAGTAAGTACATTAAGTAAGGAAAGCTTTGAGAAAGTTGTTACATTAAGTAAGGAAAACTTTGAGAAAGTTGCTTACATTAATTAAGGAAAGTTTTGAGAAAGTTGTTTGGTTTGTTTTTTATGTTGGTTTTTATGTTTGTTTGGTTGGTATTTTACTGAATTTAGGATTTTTCAAATGCTACCCAAACAAAATAAAGATCAAATCATTCTTAAAAAAATTTCCTCAGGGCAAAAATTTCTGAAGGTAAAATCTAAATCCGGTAGTTCTATTGCACCTCTACTCTGGCCTGATGGTTCTCTTATCTTATGAAAAAAATCATATTTTATGAATGATTTTATCAGTTCTGTTTTTGTTAAAGATAATGGTATTGCAACTGTCCTAGATTTGCAGAACATCAAGTCTTTAAACTATGTTTTTTTACAATTCTGTTGTTTCAACTCTCCAAAAACATCCATTGAAGTCTCCCAAATTACCTGATGGGTACTATTTTAAAAATAAATCACAAATGCCATTGCTATTACTTTTTCCATTCTGTTTGAATTTTTAATGTCAAAAAATGTCATTCCTGGTATCTGGAAAACTGCTGTAGTATGCCACATCTTTAAAAAAAGAAACCCATCTTTAACCACAAACTATAGGCCTATGAAGGACCTTATTTGTAAAGTTACATAGTAAATCATTGAATAATGCCTTACTAATTACTTACTAATTAATAGATTTATTTCTGTTCATCAATGCAGCTTTTTAAAGCGTAGATCCACCTTAAACTGATGTAAACTGAATCAAATTGGTTTGTACAGTTGCATAAGTATATTTAGACACATGACCTATATTTATGAAAAATGCAATGGTTTATACAAGTGAAATTTTAAAAGAATATGATTGGAATCTTTTTTTTGTGATAAATAAAAAATATTTAGTTATCTAAAAAGTTTATAATTTCTCCAACCCTGTATGCATTTAAATAACAACCAAGCTTTATTAAGTAATGATAATGAATAAATCAAGTATTACCTCTTAAATTATTATTATTATATATTATTATTATTGTTATTATTATTGTTATATAACAGATATTTATTTTATGATATAAATTAAGGTATTTTAATTAGCATTACCATGACCTGTTTTATAGTATTAAAATTGTTTGGTGATGAAATTACATCAACTGTCGCTCCTTATCTACCAGAAAGTGTTTCAGGTATGTTGAATAAATAATTTTAAATACATTGGTATATATAATTAGACTGTATACATTTTTTTTTTTTTGTTTTTTTTTGTTTTTTTTAGGTTTTGTTCCTAAACTAAGAACTGCCCCTCTACCTATATCTAAACAATACATTCAACAGCATCTAACAGAATGGTTTCAAAAGTAATTTTTTTTTATAGAAGAATTTACATAAGGAGCATTAAAAAAATAATCTTTTTTTTATTAGATTTCAGAAAAATAGTATTCATTAGATTTTAAAAATAATATTTTTTATCATTAACATGAATTATTTGAATGATAGATTAATTAAATTAAATAATTTGTTTGATAAAATTAACATTTATTTCATAGAATTAATTTTATATTATTTTATCAAATGATTCAATTAACATAATTTACTCAAATTAAATTCACCTCAAGTAATGTATGTTCAGATAAATAAAGCAATTTTTTTTTTTTTTTAAACTTACTAAACTCTTAATAAACAAAGTAAGATCAGTGTTTTTATGTATATAAAGTTTAAAATCAAAATCTAATAATTTTAAGTATTTTTAAATTTTTGCATTATAATTCGCATTTGTCTTCATTATAGCTTATAGATTATGTTTCAGTCCAGTCAAAACATTTGGTTTTTTTATTGTCAATATGCTCTTTAATAGTTTTGGTCTTGGTGTGGCCGTGGCGCATTGGTAAAAACGCTTGCTTTATGAGCAGGAGATCCAGGTTCAAAACGAGCCTTGGACATATTTTCATGTCATGGTAAGTGTCACGGTAAGGAAGGAGGTGTGAACTTCCTGGTTAAATGCACTTCAGCAGTGTTCTGTGATAAGTCCGATAGGTCTTCTTGGGGCACCTAAATAACAATAAAAAAAATCAGCATAAAGTTTGCAATGGTGGATAATAAGAGTAGGCATTGTAGAAGGAATGACAGTTGTCTTTTATTTTGAGGCATATCAAATAAGTTAGGCTCTGAATTTCCATGAAAAATTAACTGTTTTCTTTTCGAGAGGTATGCAATTATGTGCTGGTAGATGCGCCCATTGAAACCATGCATTTTGAGAGTCAAACACTTTTGTGAAGCATAGTAAATGAAAACATGACTCAATAGCTTCAATAATAGAATTAAATGTTTTCAATAGATTTGTTACACAAGACCAGGGGGAAACCAAGTAGATTTTAGACAAGAAGTTTCTTACAAGAGTGAGTGTTTCCATCACTTTTCATAGTACAGGTTTAATTGATGTTAGTCAATAATGCAAATAAAAGCAGGTAGACTTTATTTTGGTGTCTGAGTAGACAACTTTTATGTGAAATGGGGTAGACAACTTTTATGTAAAGTGTAAAATATAGACAACCATGTAAAATGGCAAAGTCAACTTCTGTATCAGAAATCAATACTTAAATGATAATCAGGAAGAATAAACAGTTATAGTTTTATCTTTTACTTTTTGCAAATAACGCAGTGCTAACTTTTTAAAAACCCAATACCATAATTGTATTTTGTTTAAATTGTTGCTTATTTCAGCATGGCCTGTTTTTATGTGCTTGTAATGTTAACAGTTTTAATGCTTGACCTACCATGTTAGTGTCTTCTAGCATACTAGGAACAGTATAATCAATCTTGGATTGATCAGTTTTTTAAATCAGCAATTTCATTTAATTTTTTAAGTTTTTGTTTTTGATGTTTTAACTCTGAGCTGCTAGAAAAGTTTATTATTTCATCATCGAAGTTTATTATTTCATTGTCGAATTTTATTATTTCATCATCAAAGTTTATTATTTCAAAGGTGTTTTTTGCTCATCATCAATCATTATACATCATCAAAGGTGTTTTTTGTTTTCCATTAAGTAGGGTTATTTCTTTGAAATTTAATAAATACACATCTTGGACTATTTAAACTGCTAAGTTTTTTTAAATTTATTTAACCATTTATGCCATTTAATATTTTCAGAACTCCTTCATATAAAGAAAATCAATCAATCAAACTGTTTCTTGTTGTAATATTCTTAAAAATTTAATTTCTTTGTAAGTGTTGCAATATTTATAACCATCAAGTAATATTTAAGTTGTTTCTTTTTTATAATTTTTATAAAAACAGATGTTGTTTGTATCAATATTGTTTGTTATGAACAATGATTTGTAATTTGTTGTTATGAACAATGATTTGTATTAGTTCTTTTTAGTTTGGGATCATAAAAATATTGTTTACTTCTTTTTGTTGACTAGAAGTATAACATACGCTTACATACAGAAGTATAACATATGTCATACATTACAATCTTTAGAAATGTCCTCTTTTTCTATGCAAATGAAACAATGTTCTTGTTATTATTAGTTAGTTATTTTTTTCTGCTTTCTCTTACTATACTTTGAAATTGATTCTTTTAATCAATTCAATATCTTCAAAATCTTTTAATCAAACTAAATATTTTTTTGCATCTATTTTTCAAATCAAATTTCTTAAATCAAATTTATCCAACCAAAATTCTCTAATCAAGTTTCTCTGATCAAATTTCTCAAAATTTTAAGTAAGTTTACATTACTGTTACACATTAGTGAAGTTGATTTTTATTAACAAATTAGATTTTTATTTAGTGAAATTAGTTGTTATTATTAAATTAGATATTTAGTGAAATTAATTTTTATTAATAAATTAGATATTTTATTAACAAATTAAATATCAATTCATTAACTCCAGTTCTATTTATCTAGTTTCTAAAAGATAAATTTTATTATATAACCCATGTTACAAAAATTTTTTTGTAGAATTACTAAATTCAACATTTGTTACTTACCAACAATCCAATAGTGATGCAATAAAAATTGTAATAATGTTTGTAGCATTGTTTATAGCTTCACTATTGTCTGTCATTCATTACTATTGTCTGTTATTGTATCTAATGACCAGTGAAAAAAAAACATAGTTAAAGTTTAATGAAAAGAAAACTCTTCTTTTCTTGCATTAATAATGTTGATATAGATTTTTGATTTTTTTTAGTTTTTATGTATTTTTTTTAGTTGTTTAGAAGAAATTCAAAATGGTATAAAGATATTGTTTCCTTATGTAAATAACATTAAAGGATTGTCGGCTATACAAGATAGTGTTTTTAACTTATTTCTGCCTGGTAATTCTGTAAGTTTTTTTTTTCTTAAGATTCTGATTTTAAAGTAAAATTGCTTATGAATATGCTTAATCAATAATCTAGACCATATCCTGCCTGTATCCACAATGAAGCTTTTTGATGTTCCTAAATAATTTAGTCAACATGCATGCCTTTAATAATATAAAAGCTTCAGTTTTTATATCATTAAACATATTGTCTATCTTGAGGTTAATATTAATTGTGTTGGATTTTATAAAAGTTTAAATGTTAAATTGTATGCCAACAACCAGGTGACTGTTTTTATATAAAATTTTACCTTAAATTTTATATTTTAGTATAATATAAAAATTAAGTATAAGATTTGTCATTCATCTAAAATATAAAATAACTTTAGATTTAAAGTTATAATTATATAAAGATTATAGCTAAAAGATTTTTTTTTTAAAGTTTCTAATATTCTTATTACTAATATTCAAGAAGTATAATTGAAATAAAAATTGGCAAAAGGTTTGTACCTGTTTATTCATATAATTAATTTTTTTAACATATTATAATATGAGTTTAATTTGTTTTCATTAATTTCATCTTGTGATCTGTTGTTATGAAAGTTTTTGTATGCAATTCGGATTTAGCTGAATTTTCTCAATTTCAAAACAGAATCTTAAACAAATTAGCTATACAGAATCTGTGCCAAATGTTTTATAAGACCAGAAACTGGTCTTAGAAAACGTTTTCTCTTTAGCACAGTCAACTTTAGCACAGTTTTTCAAAGTCAACTTTAGCACAGTTTTTTTTTCAGTTGCAAAATTGAATTTTTTCCCTTTACCTTGTCATAAAAATTTTTTGGTAAACTTATCTCATTTCTCAACTTCAATACAAGTATATATAATCCTTAATTTAATATGTTCATAAGATACTTATATTAATAAGTATCTAATAATTCTAAAATTTTTAGGTTTCTGAAGATTTTGAAAATCCATGGCTTAAAAAATGTGATTTATGTTTTGGGAAACCTATTTCAATATGGGATGAGATATTTAGACCAGGTTTTGTGTCTCAAGCTGAGGTGAATTTATTTTTGTTTATTAATATATAATAATGTTAATACTTTATTTTTTAATTTAAATT